ATAAAAGCGACCACATGAACACATTATTTTGTAGCAACCTGATCTGGATAATGGGTCAAATTTCTCTCTATAAGTGGGCATGACTGAAGAAATCGTCGTAGTTTCCCTGAAGACAGTTTTTATTCCCCAATTCCTTACTTGCTCACCTATCTTTTTAGAGAGAATGCACGAAGACAAAACATGAGAAAAGGTCTCCTTATCTCTCCTTACATATTCACCAGTCGAAAAGCTATTCTTTATTAATCCAATGTTATTTTCAATCAAGGCTGATGGATAGTTATTCTCAAGAAATGTCATTTAAAGCTGATCCCGTTCATTGTCACAATGATCTATATCGGCTAGTCTTATGCTCCGAATAATCATAGATTTTAAAACTGTAATCTTTGTTTTGTAACTATGATTGTAGAAAAAGTTAAGTATAAAGCCAGCATGTGTTGGTTTTCTATAGACATCCATGTTTAATTTTTCACCTGCTCTGATCACTGAGACATCTAAAAAGGGAAAAGTATTGTTGACCTCCATCTCTATTTTCAACTTTATATTGCAATAAATCTGGTTAATTAAAAACAAGAAATTATCTAAACTACCCTTGCTATACTGCAATATGGCAAAGTAGTCATCCATATATCTAGCTAATATTTTTGGTGTCAATCTTACCTCTTCCATGAAGTGTTCCTCCAAAATAAAAGCCAAGCAAGCTCTCCATGCTAGGCCTTGCACCTGTTCATAAACTTTATCATTAAAGGTGAAGTAAGTGTTGCTCATGGATATATTAAGAAGCCTTAAGATTGAGCCTTTGCTCAGATTTGCCTCCCCAATAATTTCTGCGTGTTCATCTAAGCTGAGTTTAAGTGATTCAATAGCTTTATCAATTGGGATGTTAGTATACATTGATACAATATCAAAACTAACCAAAAGATCCTCCTCTTTTATACTCTGTTGATCTATTAATATAGCAAATTCATATGAATATTTTACTGAATATTTCCAATACTCAGCCAATTTCCTCAGTTGTCTACATAAGGAACGTGAGACCCTATGCATCAGAGTACCCTTGTTAATAACAATCAATCTTAAGGAACTCCTTCCTTGTGTATTTTTTGAAGGCCGTAAGCCGAAGTTGCCCTTGCATCCCTCTGAAGAAGTGAATTCATTTTTCAATTCTCAATTTCTTCTCTGCTTACACAAACGTTAAGCGATTCCTTAAGTATGCTCTTAACAATTTCTGTGGGATCCTTCAGTTAAAGTCCGTAAGTTTCTGAGTCATTTAATTAAACCATCATTTTTTCTATATAACTTAACCTATCCATGATGACC